TGTCAGACATATATTCTCAGAAGGAAAAAAAGTATAAAGTATTTATGATCATTTCTTACCTTGTAACTATATCTATGTAAAAGCCAAAATAAATACCAACTGTTCCAGCTACACAATATACAGTGCCTGATGTGTTTATTGCTACATTTTCTATGACCAGTCTCTTTCTGTTGTGTTTCTCCAGTGACAGTGTTATTCCAGGGAAATGAGTAACACAAGGGGAGGAGGGTGCATAATGACTTCTACGCTGTAGGGGGTTGTCTGAACTAACACATAGATCATGCTCTACATCTCTTGAATCTGTATTGGAATCGGTGTTCAGGGTGTATTATGCAGAAAACATGTAGAGCGTGAGTTACTCAGGTTTCTTTGAAAGACAAATTGGTGTGTATCACAGGCACTTCACACTTCAGTTCATAGCTTTGAGGGTCGAAGAAGAGCTGAAGGCAAGAATTTGTCTCCTAAGAAGGGCCAAAGCCACGATTCTATTTTTATCTGTGCTATTTAGCAAGTACTCTTAGTTAGACCTAATTCTTTTTCTCCCTATTCAGTGAATAGATGAAGTAAGGGAACACTTGGGGAGATGAGGAGAGCTAAAATCCTGTGCTGCTGAAATCTCAAACTTTCACTTTTTGCCAGATGGATAAGCAGAGCACATTTTAAACGGGGTCATAGTATTCTCAGGCTATGTTGTATGATTATTGATACAAGATTTGTGTGTGTGATGGAATAGAGGAACAAAGAGCAAAGGAATTCAAAATACTCACCAGTCATTGCATTGAAGACATGGGTATGAATATTGCCAGTTTGAAATTTTAAGTGTGAATCTTGTAGAGGGAAATGTAATGTAATCCATAATGGGAAACAATTTAAAAACAGAAGATATTAGTTGGAAAAGGGAAAACGCTTTACTGAGGAGGGTCTGTTTGGGGGTCAGTATTTTCTGTCATTTTATTCTCTCCCTGGGCTCAGTTAATGAGCAGAATGTTTTACATAATAGAATTCTGGACTCCCTTCTCAGTTGTTGATATTCCACTTGTGTGCGCTCAGAGGATGTCAATGATGACAGCTGGTTATTTCTTCAACACACAGATTTTGATTATGTCTTGTTCCATGGTTAGTATCCAGTTTTCACAAGGAATGTTTTCCCACACAGAAGACAACAAATGTTGGACTGACCTAGTAATTGTTCTTTCCTATATTTCCTTTGGGCTCTTGTTCAGCTAGTTGGATCTGAGTTGTTTTAAACATAATTAGGACAACATAAATCACTCTGGGTTAGTTCATATGTGACATCACCAAGGAGACCCAATGGGACGATTAGAGTATGGTTTTGGACAATCTCTCTGTAGCTATGTTAACTACTTTATCATGAAAATACAGTTTGTAAACAGTAGTCTTTACAGTGTGGCAAGTTAAAATATATTGCATCTTGATATAGCTGTTCAGCAAATTAGATTTTCATAGCGCTAATTGAATTTGTCACAAAGCTGATGAACATTAGCTAAAGAAAGAGCAATATATTTTATTTTATTGAGCACATCTCAGAGTGCATGTAACTTAGTAGGGCCACCACACTTTCTGGGCAGGCTATCAAGTAGGATGTTGTAATGATTTGCATGACTACTATAGTAGATGGAAAAATGTAGCTTGTGTTTATAGCTGTTCCATTACTGTCTTGCATAGTGCGCACTCCTTTGGTGCTCTTCAGAGAGCTGTGTCATAATCCCAGCATCTTTTGAGGAGTCCTGTCTGGTGAAATCAAGTAACTATAAACCGTTTAAAACCCGGTGCATAATTAAATGATGAGACAAAGGAAAGACTAAGAAAGGCAGATAACCAATAGAATCCTGAAGTTATCAAAACAGAGCTCTTGCCAAGGACCTTGGAATTCATCTGATTCAGTTGCTGGAAAAATGCCTGAATTAAAAATTATCCTATGAGGACCAAGAAAATGGAGCCAAATTCTGGCACTGTACAGTTTTCTCCCAAAATGGACATTAATGCTGCAAAAACAGAATAGGGTGAACAACTCCTGGCCCCATGCTTGGCCCCCTACTGTAGCCTCTATCTGCCAAAAAAAGATGGAATAGAAGATCAAAAACGGGGCGGGGGGGGAGAGTGGGGAGAAGTTGGAGAAGGAGGGTGGTTGGAAAGGAAAAGACTCATAGGCTATGTATGCCCCCTGCCAGCACTGAAACACTCGACTGCAGCTCCACTTGCAAAGCACCTGTTGGCAGCTGTTGGAGTAGGTTATAGGTTTTGGGACAGAATCAGGACAGAAAACTTAGAGTCTGTGTTCCATGATGTGGCATGTGATTTGGCCTTATTTTAGTAAAATAGAAGTCATTCCTGAGCAATAATTATAGCAATAAAAACACCTGCTCAGAAATAACAATAGCTTTTGCTTTCTGGAAGAAATATAACAAATATTCAAGTGCATTATTTTTAATTTCTCTCCGTACTATTAATATTCTTTGGCTGGTATCACCTGTGTTGGCTTCCCTTTATCCAGACCTGAAAAACAAAATGATGTTGCATGGAATTGAAAGAAAATACGACAAAGCAATGATCATAAAGATTACCTTGCTACTGTCGTTCAAACACAGTGGCAGGAAGCTAGGTGCAAAGGGTCATCTGGGCACTTGTATGTTTTGCAAGCTTTATATATTAGAGTGGAATGATAGAAAAGTAGGAAAAGTGTATCTGTTAAATTAGAACTCTCAGCAAGTATTTTATGTCAAGAATTCAGTTTTAACATCTTCGCAAACTTTCATGTAAACTGTTTGGATACATTTAGTTGAGAATGTTAGCATTATTTTATGCCCTCCTGCTAATAACTCCAAAAATTACTTCTGCTTGTGTACAAAAAATTTTGCAGTGCTTTGTTGTTATATAAATAGATTATTCTTCCTTAAGAAAAATATATAACAATTATCAATAATGTAAAGTATATCAAGCAGAAAATAAATATAGGTATTTATTATAGGCTGAGCTAAAAACTCCATTGCTTTTATTGGCTAACTCTTCTTTGACTATAATGAGAATTTTCCCTCTGCTAATGCTTTGGTTTGCTGTAAAAGACTTACCTAGATAAGAACCTGTATTACTCAGACAGTTTGGATAAAGTTGAAATAGAAAGTAGATAATGTTTTGGATTTAATCCTTTCGTATATAAACTTAAAAAACCCCACAGTTTTCCTGTTCTACTTGAAACACTAAACTTATTAGTTCTAAAATAATTGAAATTTGAAACTTTAAGCCTTCCTTAGGTTTATATTCAGTAATGAAAAAAGAACTCAAGTTTGTGATGTTGCAGTGTACACTGCTCAGGCAGAGCCTGGTTCCTGCATGAAGCCCACCAAGAGTCTTTGTCCATCAAGTATGTCAAAGAATCGAGCCGAAATGCAAATTCCATTAGTTCAGTATTTTGTGTGCAGAATATTTCAAAATGAGACTTTCACTGTGTGTTAGAGTAATTTCTTTGCCTTGCTTAGAAAGAGAAAGTAGCTGAGTAGCTTAGCATGTCATAAATTATCTTAGGTATTAGAGACTGTTAGCTTTAGTGACACCTGAGCTTGGCCATATTCTGTGCCATTAAAATAAAAGGACAGGATCTGGACCTTAAGACAGTGATATCTGAACAAGGAGAGCACCTAGTAGACCATCACCATGTGCTTAGCTTCAGTGCAACTGTATGGTATACATAAAGAAAGGAATTTGCAGATATTTTAACTTGAATAAGAATGCTTTCCTGAATCAAGATTTTTAGAAGTTCAGCTGGGAATCACCAAAAGACCCATTCTGTATTACAAAAGGTTGGTGATTATTTTTGCTGTAATAATAAATAGATTAAATAAATACATTCAAAAGTTATAGTAAACATAGTCTTCACAAATTGTTTTTGCGTGTTGTAGCATTAAATGTATTGCTCTAGAGGCTGTGGATGCTTAAGAGTCTTAATGAACCAGGGCACAGAAAGTTCAAAAACATGATAATCTAGTATCTTGGACATACAGATACATATTTTCTCAGTATTTCAAAGTCCGTTAAGATTTGTGTAGTTGTTCTTATCTCTGCACATTGACAGATCTCAGAAATAACGCTTTTACTTTGATTCTGGTAAATACATCTTTTTATTGTATGTTTGCTGTTTGGAATGAGTGTGAGATACGAAACAGACAGAGTAGGCAAGCCTAGAAAATTAAAGCAAATATAGAGAAACTCTGACAGTTTTCCCAGGTGACGTATGCCAGGGAGCATCAGCAAAATGTGGGTGGTAAACTTCTGGACTTTTCATGAGGTGTCAGGTGGGTGGAAAAAACTAACAGAACCAACTTTGAAGCCGGTGGTGGCAGGGGCAGCTTTTCTTGGACATGGAAAGTCCCCAGCATGTGAATTTAAGTGCTCATGATGAGCAGTGGAGCAGGAACAGGAAAAGCCAGCACTTTGCGTCAGCATCAGCACAGAGCAGGCTGGGATGGAGACCCAGTAAGGCTGCAGCTCAGATAGCCAGCTCAGGAATCAGCTGGCACTTTAATATCAAATTCATCTGAGCCCCCAGCGCTGTCTTGCACAACAGCAGTATGTTTAGCGATCAGTCTTAGATGACAAAGAAGCCAGTGCCAACCTGAACTCCCTTCACTGCCTTCAGCAAGACTTAATATATTTATTTATAGTGCCAGATAAATGTTCCCACTGTTCTTAAGTCAGAAAGCTGAGCAAAAAGTATGATTAAATTGATCATGTAGCTTAAGTCCTCACTTTCCCCACTATAATGAACAACTAGCACTGTCTAAAATCCCTGATGGTTGCAATATACTACAGTACAGAAGAGTACACTTAATATATAAGGTATAGAAGTACTGTATCATCAATAATATGTTTAGGTTTTTACTTTACTTTTCAAACTTCAAAAGCTATTGGAGTCAATGAAAGTTAAACTACCATTTCCACAAATGTTTATTAGGCCTTTTCTTTATTATTATTTTATAGGTCTTGTAGAAATTTGCCTGATGCATCCCCTTGATGTAGTGAAAACAAGGTAAGATTCTGCATGAACAGGTTTGTTGACACTGGAGGATATCCAGATTAGGAGCTGTCAAAAAATAAAATGCTAGAACTTTTCCAAGTAAGATAACTTGTGCCTTTAATGGCATTTATGTTTACTTACCTGTATCTACAGCATTTGACAGATGGAATTTGAATAGCACGACATTTTTCTGATTAGAGGTTATCTAAAGGTGTTAAATCTGTTTTATGACATGTATTTGTAATATTGTAACAAGATCCTATAACATGAAGAGGGCTATAGTTAAATTCGCTTACCTTATGTACCATCTGCAGTGACACTTTTTATGTAACTGGGAAATACCATATTGCCTCCAAAAAAAATTTCACAGATTTTTGAGATCTGATAAAAATAATAAAATAAGGTGTTCCATATTCTCTCTGTAAGATAAGTAGCTTCATGCTCTTATCTTCTTTTATCTTTTTATCTGTCCCTATTTTCTTTTCTGAATATTTGTGCTTATGTGAGTATAAATGATTAAGTGACTTGGAAAATTTGTTCAAATGAGGGTTTTTAATGTTGATTATTGAGATGGAAAAAGAATAGCTGTGTTTCTAGTTTCTTGATTATCTTGTTCCTTTTCTATGTTTTTTAGTTTTCATATCAATTACTGAGTGTTATCATACGTGAAAAGCAACCAGAATGCAGAAGCATACGATAAGGAGGAGAGAACTTTTCATGCCATGTGTGTTACATGCAATGCCAATAATTACCTTCTACCGCTCCTGGAGCTCTCAGTCATGTAGGCAGAAAAGCTTCACTGGGGGATTAATCAGCCCCAAATGAATGATGAGGACAGCTGTGGTCTCTGGAATATGCTTGAAGCAGTCAATTATTACTTGAGATTCTAGTTCCAGTTAGCCACCGTGTGAGCTCGTTACAGATGTATTTTTGGATTCTGTTTAAATCATGTTCTGGGGTTTGCCTAAGGTATTGAGATACACTTTTGTGCAGCTTTCATTTTGCAGAAGATGACCATCTGAGGACAGTAATGCAGACTCCATCCACACTAACTGCTGCTGAGGTGTTGTAGGTATGCCTTGGGGCTTAGAGTTTGCTCAGGCAGTTCTTCTGTATGCCTTCATAATATGGAATAGGTTGATTCATAAAGAGATAATACATCTGGTAGATTCAAGGATCCTCTCTGCCCCTCCAAGGACCCCTGGGACCTTGCTATTAAAACAAGATTTACATAAAAAGATTGAAATTAAAGACTCAGAAACAACAGCAAGCAAAGCAAATACAAGGCCAAATTTAAAAAAAAAAAAAAAAATCTGTCTTGCTCTGTTGTCATGTGGTCCTCATGGGATGTGCTTTAGTGACTTCATTTTGGCAGGGTGTGCTATAATTCACCTATAGCTCTCAAGCTTTTGGTTTTACATCTTCCTGTTTTCCTCTTTGTACTAAAGCAGGAGTCATGTTCTTCTGTAGTATAAATGCAGCATCAGTGATTTACTTCTTATGTCTGGTGCCTTTGAGGTTGTCATCCTACACATCCTCATGCCTCCAGTCTTGGTTGAAAGAACTTAATACATGTCCTTAAAATCACTCATGATTTAGGACATGCCACATATCATATATCATAAAAAGTATTAATTGCACATCTGTTCTGATAAACTGGCAATCAACAGATGTACTTCCAGCTTTCTGATAGAAACCATGCATACAGTGGACTCTCAGAATACAAGGACAGATTTCCCTATTTCTATTCCAGGTTTTACTGGTTTTGTCATGCTTTTAACAGTGAAAATGCTAATTAGATCTGAGATCCATAAATGGAACACATTAAGGATTGTATGGGGATGTTTGTGAAGCTGTCTCAATATTAAAAAAAAAATCATAAAAATTAGAAACCTTTTAAATGTGAAATCTGAGTCCATAAACAGTGGGATTAAAGAAGAAAGCAGGAAAAAACAAAAGAACAGTAGGTGTGCAGGAGAAATCAGATTATGGATCATGGTGAAACCAAGGGGCTGAATCAAGTAAAAAAGCCATTGAGCAAATTTCTTCATTAGCAGAAACTTCAAGTGAAGTTGAATTAACTCAACTCTTCAACTGAGTTAGCTGCAACTCTTTCCAGAAGTGGGGAGCACCCAGGTGGTAGTTTTGTTGATGCAGATGTATTCAGAGATGTTACACAGATTTTGCAGTAACTTTTCTGCTGATCTTAGCAGATGTTAGTACTTGAAAATACTTAAATTTCGAAAGCCAATGACAAAACCATGAATAGAATATCCTTTGATCTCATCCATCATTCCATTCTATGTTCCTAACATCATGCCACTTCCTTTCATTTTGTAATGGTCCAAATTTACTATAGCAGATTAATTCTTTGATGGACTTGGAGAAGTTCAAATGAAACATTGGTTTTAATTCTGAACTTTGGATTTAGAATGTTTTCTAATACGTTTTCATTTACTTTATTCCTTTGTTGCAGTTCCTCTGAGTACTGCAATGCACTTACTCTTTTCCAACGTGGTATTGATAATCTGTCATTTCCTAATCACTTCCAGCTATTACAGTTTTGGTAGTTTGTTTGGTGTTTTTTCCCTTATGGTTAGGTGAAAGGATGTATAAAAGCACCATTTGTTGCTTAATTTTTATGGTGTTTTGAGTTTCCTGCCTTTTTTCTATAAAGTGTTTGTTTGGTGGAGAGAGTCTGTGGCCTTTTCAAGTTAGTGGAATCTCATTTGATCTAAGTTAGCATTCTGAAGGAGTTTAGGGAAGACGCCAAAAGCTCACATCTAGTGGACTGGTGGCTTAGCATCTTTGCTTCGTTGATTTTGTGTGTGTGTGTGTTTTTAATAAAAAATTGGAGAAAAGAAAGTTCCTGTCAGAGATTATTTTGAAACCGTGGAAAATGGTTTGGCTCTTTTGTGACAATATTTTGCAATATCTTTCTGTGTTTAGTAATTTTCTGTTATTCTACAGTAACAATGCTAGACTTGTTTATCTCCTCACTTCAAGGGAGGAACAATATATATATATATATAAAAATACATGTTTATAAACTATAGATAAGTCAAATGCTTAATGAGGTGGTTTTTGCTAAATGTACATTTGAAAATAATTTTATTTTGTTATCTATTAGAACCATTACTTTAAGAAATTCATTTGAGTGAGCTAGCTAGATGGAGATAACTATGCTCTGTTGTTTTATCTCTGTGAATCCCACTTATTCTTTAAAATAAACCTCTTTTCTCAATTACACAGTATATTGGTATAGTTTCTGATTGGAGACTATTAAAAAAAATGTGCTAAACTTTTTATGCCTCAGTATAACAGATGTCTACTTTTTTATTAAGAAACCTAGATGATCTTTCTTTGCTGGAAAGTGAGGAGAAAAGTGTCTTAGCCTGAATAAAGAATTGGTTTTGCTAATTTTGGGCCCTTTTTCAGGTCTTAAGTGTAATGCAGGCTGTAATGTCATTTTTTTATTAAGATGTCTACTTTTTTATTAAGAAACCTAGATGATCTTTCTTTGCTGGAAAGTGAGGAGAAAAGTGTCTTAGCCTGAATAAAGAATTGGTTTTGCTAATTTTGGGCCTTTTTTCAGGTCTTAAGTGTAATGAAGGCTGTAATGTCATTTTCATCCATCAGACTTATCAAAGGATGACAAAAGGGTATGCTAGATCATGATACACAGGACAAGACATTGTCATATATATTACTTTAAAAGTAAAAATAGTAAAGTGCTTTTCCAGCTAGAGTTCATCCTTTGTGTCCTAGTGGCATATGTTTCAGCTTAAACAAATGTACAAAATTCAGAACTCAATAATGTTTTATTGTTGGAAAATTAATAATTGTGCAACAGCTCACAGGTGTAGTTGATGAGTGAAAGGGAGAGAATTACAGGGAGTTGTCTGAAGTCAAGGGAAAGCTAATGTTGTTTGAGGGATCAGTCAAGCAAGCTTGACTGGTAACTGAAGGATGTTACTGTGGTCTGTCTGATGACTCCAGGTTATGTTCTGATGTGGTCCTCTAGCCCTGAACAGCTTGAAGTTTCAGAAGAAAAACCCTTAATTTTTACATTTCCCTACTACTGGATTTGTGGCATAAAACTGGCCTTTTCAGTCACTTGATAACCTCCAAACTACATGCTCTAACATCTAATTTTCCTTGATATTACATTCTAACACCTCAGAAAATGCATGCAACCAAGAGTGATGTTGCAAAATTAGAACTACGTTTAGAAATAAAATTTTGGATATTTCCTCAGATTTATAAGTTCATTACCTTTACATGTGCTTTCTCTTTTTCATTGGTTATCACCAATATTTATAACGCTGAATTTTAATAACTCCTTTGTTCTTGAAAACAAATTTCAAAGTTGTCTGTTCAAGTATTCATACAAACTGTGAAACATATATTGAAGTAGAAATAATCATTTTGGGTGTGACTTGGTATTGTGTAGTTAGGAAATAGAAACCATACTTTGTAACTTTTTAACAGTTGTCTACATGACAGAATTTAATAGAAAACACATATGAAGAAATGTATGATTAAGTGCTTTCAAATAACAGAGAAAAAATAACAAGACATCACCAAAAACTTTCAAATATTTAATACATCTGAAAAGACTTGCATCTGAAAGTCCCATGAACAGGAAAAATTATATGTGGATTAGACGAATCATTTACTCATCTCTTTCATTTTGGCAGTAATTTGACATCACTATACATTTTGAAACAAATATTTGAAAGAATGATGGTTTCTCTCATGTCAGACATACAAAATTGTGCTCCAGATCTGTGTTGACTTCAGTGGAGATAGATTAGTTCATACCACCTGAGGATTAAGGTTTTTTTTACTTCCAGACTATGTATTCGAAGAGTGGTAAATGTTATCATAAGCCAACTACCATGTAAAGGACTTGGAGAAAGTCTAGTTTATTATTTTATCAGGAGAATCATCAGGGTAGCTTGTGTCCTAACAAATTAAACATATATTCAACAGGCAGAGTTTTAATACTC